ACAGAACAACAACGCCTCTTTCAAAATTATTAAACATAAATGAATAGATAAATACAACTTAATGACAATAATAATCGATATTTACAACCCAACACAGCCCGACCGGGGTGTCACAAGTCACGAGCATCTAGAGAAGTCAGAACACGACTACAGGGCCAATAATACACAGAATAAAATTTAGAATCAAAAAACGAAGTCCGGTGCCGCGAACGCCGGCGGTCACCTTGCTCAGCTACGATAACAAAATCCTCAATCAGCTCTAACCTGCTACCGGGTAACAAATACCTGCAACTGCACGCAAGGTGCAGGGAGTAAAGTGAGTACTCCAACTCAGTGAGCAATAAAAGTAAATAATAACTGAGCAGCAAGAAATCACGTAAGGCACTCCATCATGCTATATAGAACAGTGCAACCCTTTGAGAAAACAGGAAAACCGTGAAATTCTTTAGAAAATATCTGGGCTCAGTTAAAATCTCTTTTGAAAATATCTTTCTCAACAGTTAAGCAAATGAATGCGAAACAGATAGTGCAAGTCAGCACATAAGTCAGCCCCTCGGGCACAGCACTCCATTAACAAATAACACCAGGGTATGAGGTGAACAGTGCAAGAAGTAGCATGGATGCCAATGGAATAAGAGTGCTGAATGTCATGACACGTAATACAACCAAGAACCAATGCATGAGCGCAATGCAATGCATATGACCGATGCAGCGTGCAGCCCGATCCATCCATATTTAACGTCGACGGCGCTCACTGGAGGTGTGTACAGACTCCGGAGGGGCTCCTACAGCCCAAGCGCAATAATCAAGCCATCTCGTGGCATCAACTAGGCCCTCGGCCTTAATATCAATACAGTACCGCTACGGCGCGCAGCCCGAGCCAACCATACATCCAGAAATCACTATAACACTGCTGCGGCATGCAGCCCGATCCATACTCAGTCCAGAAATGCACATAGGCCACTTGGGCAATATTAAAATAATAGTTCTCAGCTCAAAACGTCAATAAAATGTTGTTTAAGTTTTCAAATCTTAGAAAAAAAATGGCTGAGTTTGCAAAACAGTATTAAAACCCTGGACCGAGATCAAATAATATGCAAGTAATGCGAAAACAGTGATATCAATCCCTGAAGGATTCACATAGTTGGCACGAAGCCCAAACATGGCAATCAGCCCAAATTATGATGATAACAAGTAGTTTCAGTCAAATATGCGGTAAAAATCAACAACCGGGACGGACCAAGTCACACTCCCCAACGGTGCTCTACCCCACGCTCACATCCGGCGTGCAAGTCACCTCAATACAGCACTATGATGTGCAAATTCGGGGTTTCAAACCCTCAGTATATCATTTACATGTATTACTCACCTCGAACCGGTGAAATCTCTAGCTCGCGACGCCTTTGCCCCTCAAACCGGCCTCCACGCGCGTCGAATCTATCAAAAATCAGAGCGAATACATCACAATATGCTAAGGGAACAATACCCAATCGAAAACAATCGAAAAATAGAAAAAATCTCGAAACTAGCAAAACCCGAGCCCCGGGCTCACTTCTCAAAAAAATTACAAAACTCACATTACCGGATTCCTCGTCTCGCCACGAGTCCATACATACCAAGAACTCCCAAATCCGAGCTCAAATGACCTATCAAATCCCAATTTGAAATATCAAAAACTCAACCCCTAGCTTTACCCCTTTTTGATGAATTTCAACCAATTTCCATGTTAAATCTATCATAATCTCGTGTATTTAGGCCAAGGAACTTACCTCCAATCAATCCTACTTAATCCCTCTTCAATTTGTCCCAAAGAGCTCTCAAAATACTCAACAATGGTGGAAAAATGACTAAAACTCGCGGATGAAATGTTTATAAACTTTCTGCCCAGGTCTGACCCCTCCTTCTTCGCGAACGCGAGGGCTATCCCGCGTTCGCGATGCTCAAATTTTCCATCTGCCAAAAGCCCTTCGCAAACGCGTCCCACACCACGCGAACGCGAAGTTTTATTCCTCATATATATACGCGAACGCAACACACATTATGCGAACGCGAAGACCAAAGAAACCTGAACCTCAATTCCTTATACGCGTTCGCGGCTACTGCCTCGCGAACGCGATGCACACTCAGCTACCCCTCCGCGAACGCGAACCCACACATCGCGAACGCGAAGAGTAATTCACCTGCCTCCCAAAAAGCTTCTACGCGATCGCGACACCACACCCGCGATCGCGAAGCACAAATACTCTGCAACATCAAGACAGCAAAATCTGCAACTCAAAATGCCAAGATTGGTCTGATCGACCATCCGAAACTCACCCGAGGCCCCCGGGACCTCAACCAAAAGCACCAACGCATCCCAAAACCTCATTCAAACATGTTCCAATCATCAAAACACCTCAAACAACACCAAAACCATCAATTCACATCGAATTCAAGCCTAAGTTTTTCCAAAAACTTCCGAAACACGCATTCGATCAAAAACCCAACCAAATAACGTCCGAATGACCTGAAATTTTGCGCACACATCACAAATCACATAACGAAGCTACAACAACTCTCGGAATTCCATTCCGACCCTCGGATCAAAATCTCACCTATCAACCGGAATTCGCCAAAATTCTAACTTTGCCAATTCAAGCCTAATTCTACACCGGACCTCCAAAATCAATTCCGATCGCACTCCTTAGTCACAAATCATCCCCCGAAGCTAACCGAATCACCGAAAATTACATCCGATCCCTCTAACTCTTAAGTCAACGTCCGGTTGACTTTTCCAACTTAATCCTTCTTAAAAGAGACTAAGTGTCTCATTTCCTACCAAAACCAATCCAAATCAACTGTAACACACCAATTACTGATAATGAAACATGAAGAAGCATAAAATAGGGGAAACGGATCGGTAACTCATGAGACGATGGGTCGGGTCGTCACAGTATCAAAAAAAGCACTCTTAGCATGGGAAAAGTTATGCATGCCCAAGACAGCAGGAGGTTTCAACATCATGCACATAGCTCTATGGAACAAGGCAGCAATTTGCAAGCACTACTGGGACTTATGCAGAGAGAAGAATAAGCTATGGATCCAGTGGATTCATAGCTACTATGTCAAAGGCAGGGGAATATGGGGGTTACAGGTGAAACAAGCTTCTTGGATCGTGGGGAAAATCCTAAAGGCAAAGGACACTCTTGAGACAGCAGGGTACAACTATGATGATGTAATGAGAGCCAAGAAATGCAGTATTAAAGCAATATACCATAGACTGCGAGGGGATTTTGAAAAGGTGAACTGGAAGAGAGTTGTGTGCCAGAATGCAGGGTGCCCACGATGGACTTTCATGCTAACACTGACGGCTCATGGCAAGTTATACACGAAAGACAGATTACAGAAATGGGGAATGCAAGTAGAGGAAGAGTGTGTGCTGTGCAAAACAGGAAGGGAAAGTATCCAGCATTTGTTTTTTGAGTGTGAATACTCAAAAGCATTATGACTCACATTGCTAAACTGGCAAGGTATTAACAGGAGAGCACAGGGATGGGACCAAGAGCTAACCTGGGCAACATGTTTCACCAAGCGAAAGAACTCAAGAACAGAATTGTTCAAGATGATTCTAGCTGCAGCTGTGTATTACATATGGCAGGAGCGTAATGTAAGAATCTTTCAAGCCAGAGAAAGGAGATGGGGAGTGCTATGTAAACAAATTGTGCAAGAAGTCCATTGTAGAAACAACAAATCCTTAGGTACTTTGTTGAATAGCTTGAATTGGTACCCTTGTAATGTATGAATACGCTTATGAGAAGGGAGGGAGGGAAGAATAGAAGTATAGGATGGAATGTATGAGTTTTGCTCAACTTGTAAATATTATTCCCTGGTCAATAGAAATTTAATTACCAAAAAAAAAAAAACAATTCTCCAAGAAACTATTTGTGCACTTACCTCAAGAAAACCGAGTAAAGAATGAATAGTTTCGAGTTTTTTATTTTTTATTTTTATTGCAAGAGTTTAAATTCAATAATTGAGATGCTTGATTAAAACGCTCCTCGGCTAGTGCGAGTTCAAATGAGTTGAATTAATAAACGAGTTAATTCATAATATTATGAAAATTTACTTTGGGTTAGAGATGGTCGAGTCAATTTGGGCTACATATGTGTCATGACCCAACTCGCCCACACTCAGTTAAAATATCATGGTATAGCCAGTTTTCACACTGGTCAATGAAAAATAGCCAGCGTTTATCAAGTCAATGAAAAATAGCCATTATTTTGCTGCAACAGGGACCGGTCCAGTATAATATACGGGAGTTCTGGTGCATTTGTGTACGAACTCCAGCATATTATGCTGGACCGGTTTATACTTTGTTAACTCCTGTAAAATTTGCGGAGACTGGAGCACCAGTGCTCCAAACTCCAGTTAATATTATACTGGACAATGTTATACTTGCTGGAACTCCCGTAAAAATTTGCGGGAGTTCCAGCATAATTATGCTTGAACTCCCGTAAAATTTGCGGGAGTTCCAGCATAGTTATCCTGGAACTCCCGTAAAATTTACGGAGTTCAAGCATACTATGCTGGAACTCCCGTAAAATTTGCGGGCGTATTTTTCCGGATTTTGAACAGTGTTTTCGCTCAGATTTAAAGTGGCTAAATTTCGATGACTTTTGAAACTTGGCTATTTTTCAACGACCAGTGATAAATCCGGCTATTTTTGAATTTCTCCCCCACACTCATAACTAAATTCTCATTTGTTTGTTGTTCTCACTAAATTGAATTAATATTTTTTTTCTTCTTTTGCTTTATATAACAAAGAAAAGATGTCATGTATAACACTCACACATCACAGATCTGGAAATAAGAGGAGTTCTAAATAAACTAACTAAAAATTAGTTCATAATGTTAATTTTGACCTGTTTAGAAAGCAAAGCATACAAGTAAAAGAAAATTGTGAAAGCAAATACTCTTTTGAAGTAGAAATTTAATGTGATAAAGATCAAGAGAAAAAAATGAACAGAAACAAACACATTTGACCATATCCAAATTCAGCAAACTTTACAGAACAGAGTACTTGAACAATCAAAGGTATGAAAATAGAGAGCTAACAAAATCTCTTGTATCTCTAGTTAATGAATTATGAACCACATAGTCAACTTGTTTATCAGGGACATCCGATACAATTGGAACGGGGTGAGCTATTGTTACATCTGTTACGTTTATACATGGGAAAGAATCATCAGAACTTCCATCTCCAGTTAAAGGAAATTACTAGCATTATCAGCAGACTCTATATCAACAAATTAAATTGGGAGAGGAAACATGCTACATTTGGTACAACAGAAACAAAGCTAGCAAATCAATGCAATTTTGGATGTTGAACAACACATCGCATCTCTGCTGCAGACGTTGAATCATGTCTTATCTTTATCCTGACATCGAAGACCTACAAAACAATTGTTCCGTAATGAACTCCTTAGAAACAACAATAATACTATGTCTAAATCCCAAACAAGTTGGGGTCGGCTATATAAATTCTAAGTGATCATGCCGCTTCATGCAAGCTCATATCATGCCAATATTATACAAAATAGAAATGAAAAAGTACTAGAAGTTCTCTATATTTTCTACTGGTATATAAGCTCTGATGACTCCTTAGGATATTATCCCTAATTAAAATTCACCCTTTAAACCTGAACTGGGTACATGGATCCATTCTGTACTAGTATACAAATAATAGATTGAGCCTTAAATGAAAAGTTGGGACAAATACCTGATTACACAAGAAAGTTACAAAATTCCCAATCTTCCGTTGACATGTCAACGTACTCAACACTACCATCTTCAAACATGATCTGTTAGGTTGGGTTGGGGCGGTTGAGGGAAGAACAAGAGTAAATAATCAGCCAAATTACGGGTGTCCGAGTTCCATTAGAAGAAATTCAAAGCTTCCTTACCAAATGTTTTTTGGTGATGCTGTCAAACTGTTTTATAATTCCAAAAGACCTGAGAAATACAAGGTATTCAAGACCCACAGTAAGTCAATAGGACTGAAAAAGGTAAAACATGAACAAATAAATGAGAAGAAATTAAATGGGCAACCAGTGGCAGTGGAAAAGTATCCAACAGAGAAACTTCCTAGCTTCTAGGTTTAAAGGATACTGTCTTTGAATATCAAGTTAACAAGATTGCAACCACTTTCATACTTGGCTACCACACACATAAAGTTAGTAGACAATTCCTAATGCAAATAATGTTTAGTAGAAACCTGAGGATTACATAAGAAAAGTTATAAAAGAGACCTCAAAAAAGATTCCACGAAAAAAGAAACCATGGAGACCACATGTGAAACAAATTTCTAATTACTTCTCTGAATAGAGATGAAGGTTTCATGAAATATCTCAGCATTAATAATTGAAACCTGAAGTTTGAATAGACTTCCTAGAAAGAAACTAAGAAATATTTTATAGTATTACTACAGTATCTAATCATTGGAAAAAAGAAAAAGATAGAAAAGATAGTGGATTTTACGAATACTAATGAGACAGACATACCTTTGATCAGAGGAGCGAATTATTCTTATAAGATGACCTACACAGTTACGAGGACGCTGGATTCTCTGAGCAGAGTCACAATTCGAACTTCCTAAACAGCATGAGATCCAAGTTAAATCAAAGAGACACTAACTTTCCTAACACAGATATTATGGAAGTCAAATGACTACTTAACCTACCTTTTGGAGGAACTCCAGTTTGACAACCCTGGTATAAAAGTAAATAAAAGGTTAATAAGTCCAACATCGGGGGAAACAGATAATGTATTATAGGAATCTGAAAGATACTAGAATAGCGTTTGAAACCGCTTCGAGAGAAACAAAGTGTATGCAACTGTTCGGTATGTATCCATCAATGGAACCAAACCAAAGGCAGTAAAATGGGAGAATATGAAGGAAATAGTCAGACATAATTAACAACATATAGGTACCCATAACTTTGTCTTTAAAGGAAGTGCAAACGAGATAACAAAACTTCCTTTTTTAATAAGCATAACTTAAGCTGGGAGATATTCTCTGTGGCATCCTATTGTTTTCTCTGCTTTTCCTCTTTGCACATATAATTGGTGAAGAAAATATTTTGACCCACCTAAGAATGATATCCTTTTATTATCCAAGACAGGCATCTAACACACTTAATAGGCTCATAGATCTGGGATTAACATGACACTAGCCTCTGCCAAACACAAACACTAAGTCAGTCGTCCATCATGCATGATTTTCCAGCTATCTTCATCTTACAAGAACCCTGACAGGTTATTAACTCATAACCATAGGCGGACCCAGGATTTATAGACGGCGGGTGCACCCGATCTTAATCGATATTGATGGCTCTCGCCATAATGATTTGATTGGTTGTTCGGTTATGCGTTAATTTAGCGCACTTCCCGACTGAATATATATTACCTTAGTTATATTTATTCAACTTATATATACAAATCGATCATCCAATTAATTAAATAGATTTAGCTTTGATTTAACCAAATATTTTTAGAATTGTATGTTTTACCAGCATTTTATAAATTATAGAGAATCACATCCATTCTAACGATAATATATATAAAAAACAAGATAAGTAAACTTAAATATTAAAATCCCTGAGAGAGAGTCTGTGAAAAATAATGTAAATGGATTAGAAATTAAGGATAGCTAAGGACACTACCGGTAAGAACGGTAAGAAACAAAGTAAGGGAAAAGGTGAAAAATAGTAAAAATAAGGAAATGACTCAGGAATTAAGGAAGTGCCATTTACCATAGTTTTTGCTAGAGTAAACTATCTTTGAATTCAAAAGAAGAAACAAAAAAGAACAGTTGCATGAATGGGTTTCGAACCCAACACGCCAATCAAGGGAAGGCGCTTGAGCAGGCTTCTCGACCAACGCTCCCTTCCAAGTTTTTGTAAATAAGGGGGCCAACTAAATTATTTAAGGGGTCCTCAATATATATATATATATATATATATATATATATATATATATATATATATAAGTGCTTTTGTTATATATATATATATATAGTTTTTCTAGAAGTAAACTATCTTTGAATTCAAAAGAAGTAAACAAAAAAGAACAGTTTGCATGAATAGGGTTTCGAACCCAACACGCACAATCAAAGGGAAGGCGCTTGAGCAGGCTTCTCAGACCAACGCTCCTCTTCCAAGTTTTTGTAAATAAGGGGGCCAACTAACATATTTAAGGGGTCCTCACATATATATATATATATATATATATATATATATATATATTATTATATACGTGCTTTTGTGAAGGCTAACGGGTTCCTATGACCCACTCTACACATCAACGTGGGTCTGCCTCTGTCATACACACTTCATGTAATCATGAACCCCTCCGCACTCTTTACTTCAAGATAGAAGTCTGTTTCGGCCTCAACCTCGTGCTTCCTTTCTTTAATAATATTCTTCTTTGATAACCGTGGTGACTGGGCAGTTTGCGCGCACCTTGAATAATTCCAAAAGAGATACCTACTACCTCCACCCAACAACGTGTAGCAGGTAACTCTGTCCACCACAGCTTGACATATGGGAAGAAATCACCTTACGTGTTTTTGTCTCCGTTGGAATTTGAACATGAGACCTCATGGTTCTCAACTCACTTCATTGACTACTAGGCTACACCCTTGGGTGCCCCTTTCTTCATATTTTGTAGTTTTTGATCATTTTAAACCTCTAGTCCACTAAGGGTTTGAGATTGTTTTATGTTTTTCTGCAACATTATACAGGTCACAGCCACATAATGAAAGCAGAAACTTCAAGACCGTGGCTATCTTATACCAAATTCTTCTTTAACTGTATTAAGTTCCAACAAATGCAAGAAATATCATTAGATAGATCATGTAGTTTTCGCATGGAAAGTGATTCTCTCCACTTCTTTCCAGGGAACGAAGCAGCATGGTTCTTCCACAGGGTGGCCCTAGCCATTGGGAAAGGATGAGGGAAACTACTTTTAGACAGTATTCAAGCATCCTTGTCCTCTTTACGACTCCCTCTAACAAAATTCGGGCGAATGTATGGGCTCGAATAAAACTGAAGTCATAATTTGTATCAATTTATTTTGCGAAACCACCAGGACAATTATGGACAAGCTGTGAGAAAGCACAGGAGAAAATTATTTATTGAATGTATTACATATGGTTAAATGAGCCTATTTATACACACATAACACTTGTCACTACTCCTAATATTATATTGAATTGAGGATATTATTTATTTACTCCTATTTAACAATGACTAATTCTAACACTCCCCGCTCCAAGCTGCTGCATATAAATGCATATAGTACCGAGAGTGTTACATAATGTTAGTTCATACAGGAGGACCCATAGGGACTTTGGTGGAAAATATCTGCAAGCTTGCATCATATCGACTTCACAACTTTGTAGCAATATCCCGAGAGTAGTCTGTTTCTCTAACCAAAGATGACGTCAATCTCAATGTGTTTAAGTTCCTCTATGGAACCCTGGAATTTCGACGCAATATGAAGAGCAGCTTGATTATCACACACAAGTTTCCGGATCTGACTTATCTCACCAAAATTTCAAACTCCTTGACGCAACCTGATTTTGATCCAAATTAGCTCACAATGTCGCCATAGCCATCGCCTAGATCATTCTGCCTTCTGCACATAGAACCAGAGCAACCACCATTCTGTTTTCTTGCTGGACACAAATTCGCTCCTACCAAGACACAATATCATCAGCAACGTATAACGTCTATCAGAAAGGTGAAATCCTGCCCCAATCAGCATCTGAGTATCCAACGATCTGCTTCATAGGCTCGACCCTCAAACAACTAAACCTTGCCTGGAGCTGATTTTATATACCGAAGATGCGAACAACTGCATCCAATGGACCTTTATCACAACGGAAAAATCCAAACTAGACTCACAACACTCACAGAAAGGAACAATGTCAGGTCTTGTTCACTGTAAGGTAAATTTAATTTACGCAACCAGACGCGTCTATCTTGCAGGATCGCTAAGAGGCTTCCCCTGTCCTGGCAATAAGTTATGAATTCGGATCCATCGAGTGCTCAACCGGATCCTACACTCTGTCAATTCCCTGTCTCTCAAAGAATATCTAAGGATACTTTCGTTGTGAGATCTTAACAAAGCCTGAGCTAGACTGAGCGACCTCAATACCCCAGAAAATAACTTTAGTTTGCCACCAGATCCTTAGTCTGAAAGTGTTGCAAGAGATGTTGCTTCAAATTTAGAATACCATCCTGCGTCATTTGCGCTGGTACAATAACAATGTCGTCAATACATAGACCACCCAGATAATATACAGAGTACTCCGACGGCAGATGCGATAGAATACGAGAGTGATCAGCTTCCCACACCCTCTTCCCTGAATCAATGCCAAATTCTCGAATAAATGTGCTGAACTTACCAAACCCAGGCTCGAGGAGACTGCTTCTAGACCATAAAGTGACCGACGCCAAAACGACATACAAAGGTGCATCAACTTGGAATCAATAGATCACCACAGGATATACGTACATTAACTGAGCATCGACCTTCTCCACTGTTGTTTGCCTTTCAATCACCTCGCTTAAAATGATCTTCGAACTCTTGACCTTTACACACCACAACGTCGACAGATGAATGCCCAATCTAAAAGTAAGTTTGAACCTCCCAATTAAAGGTTCTGAGTAATCATAACACCCGGAACTGCCAGAACCCGGGTTTCAGACCCGGAACAAGATCGACTCCCAAAGACATGGTTGGATTATCCACACAAATAACAAAAAAGAATCAACTGAAAAATTTCTCTGAAACAGAGATGAAGAAAACACTGTGGTTTTGCCGAAACAGCTTAATGGTTAGCTGCCGGAAAAATCAGTTGTAGTCCGCCGAAAAAACTCAACAGTGGTCGGACTCAAACGAAAAACAGGATGGGTAGAGCGAATTCTGTTGCGGACCAGGCTGTCCTCGAAGAAGCTACGGCCAAAAAATAGGGCCGGAAGAGGCGCTCACGCCGCCAGCGCTTTGACCGACGCGAGACTTCGCCGGAAAATATTTTCCGGCGGCAGCGTGAGGGCGCGTGGGAAGAGGTTCTCGCCGGAGAATTTTTGTGGTTTGGTCGCCGGAAGCTGAATCTATCTCGTGGTGGTGTTGGTTTTTGCACAACAACCGACGGATATTGATCTTTTTTCTTGCGGAACAGTGCTGTTTTGCCGGCAAAAAAAACAAGGTTTTTTTTTCCTTCCGCGGTAGTCGCTCGAATCTTAACCACAGGCGCATAAAAATATCTCACGACTAGCTCTGAACCTGTGAAAAGCACAAGGAGAAATTATATATTGATGTATTAACATATGTCTATCAATGAGCCCCTTATATAATACCACATACACATTGTCCGTACGTCCGTTAATATATATTGAATTAGGGTTATAAGTACGTGCGCTATGTTAAATGACTATTCTAACACAAGCACTAACCGAATTTTAGGTCATTAAATATCAGATGTTGTCAAAGGCGGCGTTAAAGCACGCTTAACCTTGAACGAGGCTCAAAACATGTTGAGCGCTTCGCTTCACTTTGTTGCGGCGCTTCAATGTCGCATCAAGAGCTCTAAGGCATAGCTTTTCCTTGCAATGAATGTAATACCTGAAAAGGCGATACTAACAATTGATATTTTCACGTCTATTGTAATTTTTTTTCAATTTCTTTATCCAGTATTCTTGTT